GGAAGTACTCCATCTCTTTCTATCTTTCCAAACAGCTTTAATAGAATAGGTATGGTTTCTTCTTTAAACTTTTGATAGAATTCCCCTGGGAAGCCATCTGGCCCTGGACTTTTGTGTCTTGGGAGGTTTTTGATGACTGCTTCAATTTCCTCCCTGGTTATTGGCCTGTTCAGGTTTTCTATTTCTTCCTGTTCCAGTTTTGGTAGTTTGTGGCTTTCCAGGAATGCATCCATTTCTTCTAGATTGCTTAATTTATTGGCGTAGAGCTGTTCATAATATGTTTTTAAAATCGTTTTTATTTCCTTGGTGTTGGTAGTGATCTCTCTTTTCTCATTCATAATTTTATTAATTTGAGTCTTCTCTCTCTTCTTTTTAATAAGGCTGGCTAATGGTTTATCTATCTTATTAATTCTTTCAAAGAACCAACTCCTGGTTTTGTTGATCTGTTCCACAGTTCTTCTGTTCCCGATTTCATTGAGTTCTGCTCAAATCTTAATTAACTCTCTTCTTCTGCTGGGCGTCGGGTCGATTTGCTGCTTCTTCTCTAGCTCCTTTATGTGTAAGGTTAGCTTTTGTATTTGAGTTCTTTCCAGTTTTTGAATGGATGCTTGTATTGCGATGTATTTCCCCCTCAGGACTGCTTTTGCTGCATCCCAAAGATTTTGAACAGTTGTATCTTCATTCTCATTAGTTTCCATGAATCTTTTTAATTCTTCCTTAATTTCCTGGTTGACCTTTTCATCTTTTAGCAGGATGGTCCTTAACCTCCACGTGTTTGAGGTCCTTCCAAACTTCTTGTTGTGATTTAGTTCTAATTTCAAGGCATTATGGTCTGAGAATATGCAGGGGATGATCCCAATCTTTTGGTATTGGTTCAGACCCAATTTGTGACCCAGTATGTGGTCTATTCTGGAGAAAGTTCTATGTGCACTTGAGAAGAATGTGTATTCAGTTGAGTTTGGATGTTAAGTTCTGTAGATATCTGTGAAATCCATCTGGTCCAGTGTATCATTTAAAGCTCTCGTTTCTTTGGAGATGTTGTGCTTAGAAGACCTATCTAGTATAGACAGAGCTAGATTGAAGTCACCAAGTATAAGTGTATTATTATCTAAGTATTTCTTCACTTTGGTTATTGATTCATTTAAATATTTGGGAGCTCCCACATTTGGGGCATATATATTGAGGATTGTTAAGTCCTCTTGTTGGATAGATCCTTTAAGTATGATATAGTGTCCCTCTTCATCTCTCACTACAGTCTTCGGGGTAAATTTTAGTTTATCTGATATAAGGATGGTGCCCCCTGCTTTCTTTTGAGGACCATTTGAATGGTAAATGGTTCTCCAACCTTTTATTTTCAGGCTGTACGTGTCCTTCTGTCTAAAATGAGTCTCTTGTAGACAGCATATAGATGGGTCCTGCTTTTTTATCCAGTCTGAAACCCTGCGCCTTTTGATGGGGTCATTAAGCCCGTTCACGTTCAGAGTTACTATCGAAAGATATGAGTTTAGGGTCATCATGATATCTATTCAGTCCTTGTTTTTGTGGATTGTTCCACTGAACTTCTTCTTAAAGGGGAATTTTAAGAGTCTCCCTTAAAATTTCTTGCAGAGCTGGTTTGGTGGTCACATATTCTTTCAGTTCCTGCCTGTCTTGGAAGCTCTTTATCTCTCCTTCCATTTTGAATGAGAGCCTTGCTGGATAAAGTATTCTTGGTTGCATGTTCTTCTCATTTAGGATCCTGAATATATCCTGCGAGCCCTTTCTGGCCTGCGAGGTCTCTGTGGAGAGGTCTGCTGTTACCCTAATACTCCTCCCCATAAAGGTCAGGGATTTCTTGTCTCTTGCTGCTTTAAGGATCTTCTCTTTATCTTTGGAATTTGCAAGCTTAGCTGTTAGATGTCGAGGTGTTGAACGGTTTTTATTGATTTTAGGGGGGGATCTCTCTATTTCCTGGATCTGAATGCCTGTTTCCCTTCCCAGATTAGGAAAGTTTTCAGCTATGATTTGTTCAAATACATATTCTGGCCCTCTGTCCCTTTCGGCGCCCTCGGGAACCCCAATTAAACGTAGGTTTTTCTTCCTTAGGCTGTCATTTATTTCCCTTAATCTGTCTTCATGGTCTTTTAATTGTCTGTCTCTTTTTTCCTCAGTTTCCCTCTTTGCCATTAACTTGTCTTCTGTGTCACTCACTCGTTCTTCCACCTCGTTAACCCTCGTCCTTAGGACTTCTAGTTTGGATTGCATCTCATTCAATTGATTTTTAATTTCTGCCTGATTGGATCTAAATTCTGCAGTCATGAAGTCTCGTGAGTCCTTAATGCTTTTTTCTAGAGCCACCAGTAGCTGTATAATAGTGCTTCTGAATTGGCTTTCTGACATTGAATTGTAATCCAGATTTTGTAACTCTGTGGGAGAGAGGGCTGTTTCTGATTCTTTCTTTTGAGGTGAGGTTTTCCTTCTAGTCATTTTGCTCAGTGCAGAGTGGCCAAAAACAAGTTGTACTGGGAAAAGGAGAGAGAGAGAAGGAAAGAAAAGAGAAAAAGAAAAAAGAAAAAGAAAAAAAAAGGAAAAAAGAGAAGAAAAAGAGAAAGAAAAAGAAAGAAAGGTGAAAAAAAAAGGGGGGTGGGGGAAGCTATCAGAAATCAAAAAGAAAAGAAAAAAGAAAAAAAAACACGGGGGAGTATCTTCTGAATCTGTAGACTTTAAGTCCCTTGACTTCCCCTGGAACTGGTCCGTCCAGCTGGTCTTCTGGGGGAGGGGCCTGCTGTGCTGATTTTCAGGTGTTAGCACTTGGGGGAGCTGCTCTGCCCCTGCCTGCTGCCGGGCTCAGCGGGGGTTGTTTACCCCGTGAGGCCCCAGGAGGAACAGCCGCAGTTGTTATGGCAGCTCTGGAGCCCTGGATTCAGCCTCCGCAGGAACTACGGGGCTCTCCGTCCGCAGGGCCTGGAGGCTCCGGGGCGGGGCCGCTGATCTGCTCAGCTCCGGGCAGGAGCGTCCTTGCTGTCCTGGGCCCTCCCGGCCTCTGCCTGTCCCGGGGGAGGCCGGATCCTGGGCTGTGTCCCGGCGCCCTGTGCTCCGGGGCCTGCGCTGTTGGATTCGCGCTCCCGCCCCGCAGCCCCCTCCGCGGAGCCGCCGCCCGAGCCCCTCCGAGCTGCTCCGGTCCCGCCGTGCGCGCTGCAGCCCTTAGGGAGCTCGGCGCACTCTCCCGGGGGCGCAGGTGTCTGTTAGTGTCCCAGGGAGCCCGAGGGCATCCCCGCCCTCCTGGGTCCTGCTCCAACTCCCTGCGAGCCCCTTTCCGCCCGCCCGGGAAGGTTGGTGCAGCTCCTGCTCCTCCGGGACGGGGCTCTCCTGTCCTGGGGACACTCGCCCCGGCCTCAGCCCGGCCCCTCGCGGGGCCCCTCCCCCTCGGAGGCCTTTTGTTTCTTTATTTCTTTTTCCCCGTTTTCCTACCTTGATAGAAGCGCGAACTCTTCTCACTGTAGCGTTCCAGCTGGTCTCTCTTTAAATCTCAGGCCAAAGTCGTAGATTTTCAGGATGATTTGAATGTTATCTAGGTAATTTGGTGGGGACAGGTGATTTGGGGACCCTACTCTTCCGCCGTCTTGCCCCTCCTTCCCTATTGTTGGTTAATGAATGTTTATTCTCCTTAATCTTTTTATAATTGTTGTCTGTGGAAAATAACCTAATCATTTAAGAAAATGTTTTAATATTATTCAAAAATAAATAACACATTTGTGAAGTATTTACATGAAAATTTTAATGAATAATCTAGTTTGTTTCCTTGAGGTCACCTCTGAAAAAGCATACTGCTACCACTTTTAAATAATGTGTGGTCTTCATCATGCCTCAAACAGTATACTCAAAATTTAATCACATGATACCTATGCAATTTACTGTTTTTTCAAAATGAAAACATGCCTTTTACATAAGATGTGTTTTCAAATAAATAATTGTTATTTTAATTAATTATGGAACTGGTGTGAAATGAATTTGACTTTAGTTTTATTTCTACGAATCATCTTTGCTTGAATGCCCCTCTATAGTTTAAATCTATAAGGTTGTAGATTGTTTTATGTGCTTTGATGGTACTGGGCACGCCTTTGCTCATAGTATACATTCATATAAATGAATGAATTTAAGAGTGAATTTCATAGCAGGGGGAAATAAGTGAAGGAAGTTTTGGATGACACTGAGGAGCTACTTTAGGTCCCTTTTTTCACCTTTTTTTGATCCTGCTATGAAAGTATTTCTTTAGGAGACTTAAACTTTCTGATACTTTTCAAAATTATTTTCTTGGACATAATCTAAGATATCAAATCTGGAAGTCATGGTTATGGTTTTCTATGAAAAAAGATAAAAAGTATATTGACAGTCCTAAATGAATAGCAATTACTAAATCTTATAACATTAACAAATCTAGAGAAAACAAATTTATGATACTATCTATTGAGAAAATCTCTTGGGGTTACCTTACGATTTCCTATCCCCTTCCCCCAAATTCTAGTAAATAGAAGGGCTTTAATGTAAAACAATATTAAGTTGGACTCTAGCTAACAAAGCAAAATTTTGTTTTTGATTTTGTTATTCCTCAGTTATAGAGATAAAGGTGGTATATTATGATGAAATATCTCAACAAAACTGCCCTTGTCTAATGAATGTGACCTGAAAACATTTGACCTCTTTTATACATGAGTGAGTAGAGTAAGTGACTATCCTGGAAACAAAACTTGAGTCTATGGCTTGTGTTTGAATTTAATTTAGAAAGCCAGAAATAAAAGTTGCCACAAATTGTAACATTTAGAAAGCCAGAAATATAATATGCTATGAATTTTAACTAGGAATACCTTGCAAAAAAAAAAAAAAAAAAGAAAGAAAGAAAGAAAAAAAAGAAAAAGAAAAATACTTTGCAACCTTGAAGAATTTAAAAACTTTTCCTCTTAGTTTTTGGAAATATCAAGCTAATTTAAAGGTTCACAACTTTAATTTATCCTCTTTTCCAGATGGTATCAGTCCTGACATAGAGAATTGGAATTAAAGAGGTATGGAGAAGGAAGCAAGTCTTACAGAAAGTATGATTGTTTTTAAAAACAAAACCCATGAGGTGTTTTCAGTCACTTTGGTGAGAAGGATTAAAACAAATTGAGCTGAAAGGATAAAGCCTGATTGTGAATATTATGTAAGTGAAAAAAAAAAACCAAAACACCTCACCTGTAGTATGATTGCAAATAATTCCATTGTTACAGGCACATCTTGTTACTTTTTAAAATTTGTCATTTGTTATTCTCCAAACTGCCAGAGGATTTTTAATTTGGTATTTACTTACAAGTGAAAGTAAGATTTTTCTAGTGCATTTATTCCCTCTTCCGCAAACGCCTGCAGCCCACAGCTAGCTACAAAAGGATTGATTTTTGATTCTTTAAGAGCTCTTCCAGGCTTCTTCAATAATACCCTCTTCTGTACGCTCTAGTAGTGGAACAATGTCATAAATTCTTTCGACATTCACAGCTTGACCTTCCTTTTGTATTTAAAGCCAGAATGTAGGCTTCATAAACAGCAGGCATTGTAATGCTTGAGAGATTTGCGTAGGCATTATTTATGCCAGCCAATAACTATGGTTGCTTTTATATAAATATAACCAATATTTTGGCTGAGAAAGTAGAACAGCTGACCATATCCTCTAAAAATAGGTTGATTCTGTATATATTTGTTTAAGTTAGTATGTTAGTTCCAAATAAGAGTTTTATTCTATATTGGCGTTTAAATTTTATCTTGAAACTACATACCAGAATAGTTGAGACTTGGTTCAGAATATTTAAGATTAAGAATCCTGACTTAATTGTAAGGTTATTGATTATATCCTGGGGTAGAGGAGAAATATATGGAGTACAAAAGAGCCTGCAATTTAAAGGAGATTGTGTATATTGTCCCTCTGCAGTAGTAGGGTTTAGTCCTGCCCAAGGCAAGGTAATGGAGTCCTCTAGAATAGATGCACATTCCAAATCTTACAGTTTTGACATGAATTGTGGTTTTAAATTATTATCAGATCTGTTGTCTTTTTAATATTCTATTTAGGGAGTGTTTGAATTTTCAGAAGCAATTTTTTTGTTCATTGATGACCCTGATATTTTTGTAATATATATTTACTTTTAAAAAATATTTTATTTAAATTCAATTTGCCAACATACAGTATAACACCCAGCACTCATCTCATCATGTACCCTCCTTAATGTATATATTTACTTTTAAAACATGGATATCAATTTAAGAGAGCTGACACTCTTGAATGATATTCCATTTTTGAAGTAAAAGTCTTTTTACTTACTTTTGAATGGACTATTTATCCATTTTCCAATTAGTTCATCAGTTTCATATTCAATTTGGAGGCACAGACATTTATTCCAGGATAGGAAAAGTAAATCGCCTAGTTGCTATATGACTCTTATCATCATCACCAACACCATCATAGATAACAATAATAATAATAGTAATAATCCAAAACCTGTACTATATGCAAGCTGTTACTAGTATTTGCATGTATTAACTCATTAATTCTCATCACAACTCTCTAAGGAAAATAATATTCTATTTTACAGATGAGAAATCTGAAGGCTGGAGAAATCAAGTGACTTGCCTAAAGGTAGGTGCCCAGCTAGTAAGGGGCAGAACTTCAGGTAGCCACTATTACCCGTTAATAAATCCTGTGTTATTATTTTGAGAATTTAGCATTACATATTTTACTCTACTGTCATTTAGTAGTGTTCAATGGCTATATTTGTGTTAGGTTTATATTTATTATTATTACCATTGAAATTCATAATTTTAAATGACCTCCAGTCACAGATATATATTAATATTAAGAGTGGTGGGTGCCCAGACTGCTGAGGATATGGTTGAGACAGTGTTGTGAATGTTCACTGGCTGGGATTTAAATGTGCCTGTACTTAGAGGAATTCAAAATGATTAAGAGATTGTCTTTACTTTCAAGAAGTTTCCAGTCTTGAACAAGTGTTTATGATCTGAAGATAAAAAGATTTGGGGCCTGAGTGGTTCATTGTGTTAAGCATCTAACTCTTGATTTCACTTCAGGTTGTAATCTCAGGGTCATAGGATCAAGCCCTACAAAGGACTCTGTGCTCAGCCCGGAGTCTGCTTCTCTCCCTCTCCTTCTGCCCCACCCCCTCCATCTAAAATAAATAAATACATCTTAAAAAATAAATAAAAAGATCTACTGAATATTGCCTGGCTGAGGTAAATTCTAAATATCTAAATATTTAGGATTTAAACAAATATTAAGATGGGCATGACTCCACAACTTCTCTTTAACAGCCCCTGTGCCTCTGCCACCCAGAACCACAACATTCTCCCTTTCATTAATATTTTTTATTTATTTTGAGACATTGAACTCTCCTTTCTAGGGCCTTACCTCATGCTGTTATTCTCTCTAAAACACACCTCATCCTCCTTGTAGTTTTACTACCATCATCAACCTATTGCCCTATACAATAGGGCAGTGGCTTAGTGAACAATTATTGAGTGAATCAATGCACTTCCTGGTGCCTTGAATGTTTTCCACATGACGTTTCTTTTTTTTTTTTCCACATGACATTTCTGCAGCGAATATACCCATATACTTAAAAAACATATATTTTATTTATTTATTTTAGAGAGATATATAGAGAGAAACAGAGAGCACAAATGAGCAGAGGGAGAGGGAGAAGCAGACTCCCTGCTGAGTGAGGAGCCTGATGTGGGGCTCGATTCCAGGACCCTGGGACCATGACCTGAGCCAAATACAGATGCTTAACTAATTGAACCACCCAGATGCCCCCATATACATACACTTTTAAATAATTATCTGAGGTAAAAAAAAAACAATGCCTTTTCAAATACCTACAACCTAAGAAATTGATATAAACACAAACTAAATCATATGAAATAATTTCATGTGTTCAGTTCCTGTATTTGTTAAAAGATGTAGGACTGTGCCACAGAAATCAAATTCCAAACTCTATATCTTAACTGAAAATCATTCCAATCAACTCTTGGAATATGGACAACTTCAAAGAATAAATATGATTTAATTTTTGGAAAGTCTATTCTGTGAGGAATTGTTATGGGAGGATTTCATGTAGCTCTGGTAAGAAAGGAGAATTCTGAAGTAAAAGGGAGGCCGAAGTGAAGAGATCTTTTTTCAAATAAGTGCTTTCTGTGTTAGAGATTCATAGCACACATTACTTTTCAAAGGCTTTGAGAAATCCTGTGATAAACCTATTAAGCCAGTGTATAATTTACACAACCTCAGGACTTAACAAAGTCTCCTGAAACAAAACAAAACAATTAACATATATTACATCTCAAGGATTATGCTTGGGGAAACAACTGTTCAAATGTATTCTTTTTCAGAACGTGGTAACTGGGTGGTTTATATTTCCACTGAGAATCACATGGGACAAAATGGGAAAACTGGATTAATCTATTACATGGGATATAAAATAAGAGTTCTAAGTAAGAATCTATACACTGAATTTATTTCCCAAAGGAAAAGTAGAATCTTACTTTACAAATAGAACAGATAGTCATCTATAAAGTATTTTTATGGGGGTGGGGTTATGGGTTAAAATATTAGCACAAACTAATTTGTCAAAGTAGCATCATCCTTCAGGTAAAAGGCAGAAGTATGAGCAATAAAAACATTACATTCTCTAGAATGTTTAAGATTCAGAATCAAATCAGTAGTGTGACTGGAATACAGAAACTAGGATCCAAGGGAAGCACATGGCAGCAAACAAGAAACAAGTCAAGTAATAAAGGAGTGGTTAACACACTTCCGAGTCAAAGCCAGAAGAAGGCAGAGGATGGCTAGTTAACAGCAGAAACATCAAAGGCAGTGTTGAAACAGAAGATTAAGTTCAGGTTTCTGACCTTGAAGAGTGGTGAAAGAAATCCTCAGCCAACTGAAGGGTGCCTAGGGATTGAATCCTTAACTGAATCTGTTGTCTTCCTTATCATGAATCAACAATGGACAGTAGGAACTGATTCAGTATAAGGTTTGGATATTGCCCTACGTCTTGCCTTTTCTCTTTTGTGTGGCAGCAAATGTTGGTCCCCAAAATTAATCCACTCTTCCACTTTTGTCCTCCAAATCCCTAACACATGTCTTTCCCCAGAAACAACCTCTACGAGCTTATGGTTCTCTTCTAGACAGAATATATTCATAGACACACTTAAAAATGTAACTGATAGATTGAACGTATAAACTTAGAAATGAAGCACTTTACTTTTGTCTGCTACTGTCTCTTCTAACTTGTGGTGCTACTTCTTCCTGTGGCAATGAAAGAAATCTTGAATCTGGTCTCTTCATTTTGGGTCATGTTTCAGATACTGAAAAGTCCAACATGACCGAAACCAATCCTTAGTCCCTCTGAACTCAGTCTCAATTGAGTAGTGACTCTATTCATTCCAGAGTAACAACTATAACGTTTTTACGAATTATGTGTTTATTTGTTCTATTTCATTCTTTTAGCTTTTTCTTTGAAGATTCCCATCTGTGTTCCTTGATCCCACCCTCTTTATCTATCTATCTATCTATCTATCTATCTATCATCTATATATATATATACTTTTGTCTTTATCGATTTAAAATTTATTTCTCTTTCACTGGTTCATTTTTTTTTTAGTTTTATCTTCTAAGTTTCAGCAGTATCTAAATTCCATTAGATTCCTTTCGATTGTATTCATTATTTGCATGATTATTTTTGTTTTTCTACTTCTTGGTCTTCCTTTCATGTTTTATTCCCTTTTATTTGTCTTATCATTTCATCCCAGAGTTCTGCTATTTCTGCTCCGTGGTCTTCTAGTTAGAGAGACTTGTTTTAATAAGTTTTAAATTTCTTGGCAGAATGTTTGACCACAGTTTTAGTCTGTACCATGACGTTTTTCTTGTATATTTTGCTTTTTAAAAGTACAACATTTTAAAACTCCTTAGTTGTAATAATTTCAAATTTACAGAAAAGTTATAAGAATAGTACAGATGACCCCATGGAAAGTAGAAGGGACCCGATGGGAAAAATTGCTATTTTTGCTCCCTTTCCTGCTTTTATTCTTGCTTTGATACCCCTGCCTTACACATGCCTTAATCTGTGTTCTACTTGTAAAGGTCAAAGAGTTACTGATTTTTTTGGAGACTTCCAGCACAATAGTAACATCTAAGGAGAGACCAGGAGGGATCATCATCACATTTTCCAAGACCACTGACTCCAGACACCTTGATGCCAAGACCCCTGGCTCTACGGCATGAGTGACTTATGAAGGACATCTAAGCATTCATCCTCGTTTTACCAGGTCCTGGCTGCTTGAGAGGACACATACACCAGACCACCATCCTCAATAAAAACCCCAGACCCTAAGCAAAGATGAGACTCCCTGTTCTTTCCTTTCTGAGTCTCCCAGATGCTTTGTCTGTGTCTGTACTCTCTCTCTCTCTCTGTCTTCAATAAACTCTGCTCTTACTTTTCAGCTCACATTTAATTCTGTCCTGAGTGAAACCAACAGTCAAGAGGGTCTTTGGCCTGGCAGCAGTTTCCTTGGCCCTATAGGTTTCACTGGCTCCCTCAGAGGAAAGGAAGTGAAAGGAATTGATAAATATTTTTTAAGGAGTGGAAGGGGAAGGGGACTTTAAAAAACCAATTCTGTCCTTTAAAAATATTATTCATCGGGATCCCTGGGTGGCGCAGCGGTTTGGCGCCTGCCTTTGGCCCAGGGCGCGATCCTGGAGACCCAGGATCGAATCCCACATCGGGCTCCCGGTGCATGGAGCCTGCTTCTCCCTCTGCCTATGTCTCTGCGCCTCTCTCTCTCTCTCTCTCTCTGTGACTATCATAAATAAATAAAAATTTAAAAAAATATTATTCATCATTGAATGAGTTAAGATTTCTTGGACTCATCATTTGTAAGAGGTTCCTTTGGGGAGAAGACGACAAGGTAGGGTTTTAGGCTAGCTAGTTTTCATAGAGCAAAGTCTTTCTCTTTTTCTGTTACAGACTCATGTTGCTTCCTGCAAATATGACTTTTCTGTATAATTCTTTTTATAGCCTCACCTCTTCTAAGGAAGAAAGATGTGCCAGCTCTATATAGTTTTTGCACCAAGGATCATAACCTTGAAATATTACTTTTTGACTTCAAGAAGTATCCTAATTTTCAGGAAGTATAGTTTTAAAGATTTTATTTATTTATTTGACAGAGAGGCAGAGCACAAGCAGGGGGAGTGGCAGGCAGAGGGAGAGGGAGAAGCAGGCTCCCTGCTGAGCACAGGGCCCTGGAATCATGACCTGAGCTGAAGGCAGACGCTTAACTGACTAAGCCACCCAGGTGCTCCAGGAAGTATATGTTTGCTGATGCTTTTGGAGATCTGTTTTCATTGGTTCCCTGCTTTTGAGATTAGAGGAACTCTTGTTTCCACTGCTGCTTTTTGTTCCCAATGACTATCACCTACTTTTGTCAGTGTTTGATATAAAATGGATTCTGGGTTATATGTGCTTCCGAGTTCTCCAAAAATGGTTTGTGAACTTATAAAAGCTTCTTCTTGTAGCTCTTGAATAATTACCCTGAGAAGGGGAAAACGTGGCTTTATGCAGGCCT